TATTTCAGGCTTTGTGGGCTATATGGTCTCTACTACAGCTCCTCAAGTCTGCTGTTGTTGCAGGAAGTAGCAATAGGCAATATAGAAATGAGTAGATATGGCCGAGTTCCAATAAAACTTTATTTGTAACACAGCTAGCAGGCCAGATTTGACCTATGAGCTGTAGTTGGCTAACACTTTTTTATGAATACTGGGCACATTAGCATATTGAATATGCATACGTGTCTGTATATGTAAGTGGGGTATATACACACATATTAGTATGCAAAATCTCCATTTGCCCAACCCCCTGGTCATGGCAGTTTCTTGGGCACGTGACCAGTGCAGTCACACGTGCTGTTTCAAAGGGAGCTTAGACTTGCAGTTTAACACTCTGTGGTCAATGTCTTGAAATTATCAGCAATTTTATCTTAGAATTGTGGTTTTTTTTGTTTTTGTTTTCCAAAACAGAGTTTGACTCTTGTTGCCCAGGCTGGAGCGCAATGGCACGATCTCAGCTCACCGCAACCTCTGCTTCCGGGTTCAAGCGATTCTCCTGCCTCACCCTCCTGAGTAGCTGGGATTACAGGCATGCACCATCATGCCCAGCTAATTTTTTTTGTGTGTGTGTATTTTTAGTAGAGACAGGGTTTCTCCATGTTGGTCAGACTGGTCTCAAACTCCCGACCTCGGGTGATCCGCCCACCTCGGCCTCCCAAAGTGCTGGGATTACAGGTGTGAGCCACTGCCCCCCTAGAATTGTGTTTTGTAGGTGTACTCTGACGGAACAATGGAGACTGAACTCCTATATCTAGTCTCATCTTTCCACTGCCTCAGTGCAGCCCTAGGCAGCTCTCAGAAATATACTCCTCTCTAGCTTCCTTTATCCCGCCCTGCCCTGCTGCTGGGGTGGGGTCCTCCACCCAGGGTGGGACCAGGGCATGTCACTGGGAGAGGTGTGTGTTCTGCTGTGTCTTTTGCCCCTGGCAGAATCCTGAGTGTGTGTTTAGAGAGGACTGAGTCAAGTGTGCCCATCCCTGGCATCTTAGAGCCGGACAGGGAGGTAAGAATTCCCGCCCCAAGCTGGCAGTACCACAGCACACTCAGTGGATTCTGTGCAGAGCCTCTTACCCATCCCTGATCCAGACAGCAAATGTGTTGCAATATGGAGACTGCAGTCTCTCAGGGGTCACCTGTCTGACTTCCTTGCGGGGGGGGGAGAATGACCCCCCTGCTCTATGCTGGGACATGGTGTAGATCCTGTGGCTAGAGGAAAGAAGAACCCAGAAGCTGACAGGCCACATGTGCACACCCAGTCACGGGCACCTGTGGGGTCTGCACTCCCCCATAACTATCATCCCTATGCTGAAGAAGCCTAACATCAAATAGCAAATAAAAAGAGCCATGTCCAGCCTGGGTTAGTGAGGGAGGAGGGGCAAGAACAGACAGACTGAAGAAGAAAGGAAAATATTTTATATTTTAGTTCTTTTTACTATCACTTCTTTCCTGCTTTCTGAACAAAAGGGTCTTGTATTTTCACTTTGCACTGGGTCCTAATCAAAGGTTAGGGGCTATAAAGAATCATTTCCTGAGATTCATTTACCAAAAGGGAAATTGACAAAAAACTCTATGTATGCATCACTGATTTCAGGTCAGCTCATCCGTGCAATGTTAGCGCTTCCTGCAACATTTCCAAATCTTAAATACAAGGCTCTGAAATTAATGATGAATTTGGGGTTTCAGATGCTAGGAAGCTCCTTTTGGGATGTGATTATCAGGAATGCTGCGTGGTAGCCATTTCCTTCAAATAGTTTGCTGTAGGATTAATTTATGCCTCTTTAGAATGATAATGAGCCATTTTATAAAAATAAAGCACAATCAAAATATTATGTACAAAATGTAACAGACAACAACAAAGAAAGATGAAATTTTACTAAGAGTTCTGTTTATTTCCTATTAAAAAGGGTAACACCAGATCATTCTAACACACAAAAACATACTTGTTTTCCTAATTTGAATAAACCAACTGTAAAAGAAACATTTTTGAGACAAAGAAATGTGAATATAGGCTGGGTGTTATTTGATATTAAAGAAGTATTGTTAACATTGGTAGGTATGATAATGACATAGTATGTAAAAATATCCTTCATAGATCCACATGGGTATTTATGAGTACAATAACATAAGGTCTGAGATCCATTTAAAATACTTCTGCAAAAGAAGAAAAAGAGGTAGAAGAAGAAGACAGAAACGAAGAGGAAGAAGATGAAGACGAGAAGGTGGAACAGAAAAAACACGACAAAGAAGATGAAGGTGACGATGAGGACAGAAGTGGAGAGAAAAAAAGTAAGGTAGATGGAATAGGATTGTGGAAGAGGATTGGAAAAATGATGAGTGTAGGTGAAGGAAATGTGAGGACCCATTACAATATTCCCTGTACCCTCATATATGCTTTTAAATTCCCCTGATCGAGTGTGTGTATAACCATTGCCTAAAAAATTTTCTAATAAAAATCACAGTGCATATTTCACATTCTCCTTCATACCAAATGCCTTTTTTTTTCTGGTGCAAGAAGCATCCTCTGAGGCTGACAGGAATTATCTAAGCTGAAGAGATACAAAGGAGTTGATGGGAAGGATAATCCGCCCATCGGTTCCTGACACAATATAACGAAGAAAAGAAGAAAGTGGGTGGAAGAGGCTGCCATTGTTACTCTCCTAACCTTTCCTTCTAATTATGCCAGAGCCAAGGCTCAGGTCACAAGGAAAATTATTTTGGTGGTCAACCATTTGCCCTATTTTGTATACATCAAAAAGGCTCTTGTTCTCACACATTCCAATCTCACAGTTTCCCACCTACTTAAAAAATGTATCAAGTGGTCAGATGAACTAAAACATGAATAAAATGACTATATTATGAAGAACACCTTGTTTGCAAACCTACAGATAGCCTGCTTGTGATGCAGAATTGTAAGATGCACAACACTTCAACATTTAATCTACTTTCTATTATTGTAGGCATTTCAGATAAATGCTCAACATGCCCCGCTTTTAAAAGTTAAATGTAAATTTCTCTCTTGAGTGCAGATGGTGGCCAAGCAAAGTAGTTCTTTGGTCTCACAGACAGAAGGTCAGGTCATGGCTGAAAGACCAAAGAACAATTGCTGCTTTGCTCCTCCAAATCATCCATGGAATGAGACACCACTACTTTCTTTTCTGAAACTGTCTGTTCAATACAAAATAGTTAAAAGAGGACCTATAAGATTTCCTCACATTCTGTTGGGAAAAAAACGGTAACAAGCACATCACATCACATCACATCACAAACATCTTGTAACTGTTCAGAGGTCTTATTCCTAAAGCTGTGACTCTCCTAAAAAGGCAGTCTCTATCTAAAAACATACCACTAAATGTCATTATGAAAACTACTATTGACAGAAAACTACTATTCTCAGAAAATGTTTACAAATCAAAACTGCTCCTTGTAAATCTGGCAGCTTTAGCCTCCATACCATCACGGATTAATTAAAATGAGATTTAATATTGTAAATACTTCTAATATTGCAAATGCTTCTAAACAAGTTATTCCTTTACAAGTGATATTATACTCTTATTGTTCCTGATGGTTTTTTTTTCCTCTAGAAAATTATAATGGAATTTTAAATAACTGAGACTCTTTCCTGACGTATTTTTCCAGTTAGTCCAAAATATTATGCTGTCAAAATGCTCTCAAATAATACAAAAGACCAAAAGTATGCCAATATGATTCCTTTAAAAAAATTACAATATATTAGGAAAGAAAAGTTATCTGTGATAAACTCAGTAGACCTAGGCCTTCAGTCCCTGATAGAAAGCATTTTCCATTCCACTATCAGGCACGCCCCCAACTGGATGAAATAAAATGTTTCATTATTTGCACATGTTAATAATTAAAAGTCTTCTGAAAATTTAAAACTCATTACCACAACACCAAATACAGTGGTTCAAAGGCAGAATTTTACTTTGGTTGCCAAGATTTTAATTTAGTACTAAGGATTTCAGTTATAACTTGAAAAGCTTTTTGTATTAATCTTCATTATCACTTTTGTTTTCAATACTTTTCCCAATTGTCTTTGCATCATTTGTTGTAAAGACTTCATTGGCTCAAAAGAGAAAATACGTTGGAAAATATGATGAAAAACCTGGAACTAGAAACATATTTGAAAAAAATTTATTTGGAGCAACCTCCTTCTAAATTCTAAAACAATTATTTTAAACTATTGACCCTAAGAACCCAGTCTTATTATTTTCATTGAATAAACAACCTGCTTTCATTGAACATAGAGAATGAACACCTTCAAGGTCCTGTACTGTAACATAAAAACAGAAAATCAAAAGTCAGCCTATTAGAACTGCCTCTCTAAAAACTTTAACCATGTTGTCAACTAAAATTCGAGTATCTACTTCATCTCAATAAAGATATAACATAAAACATCTGTTCAAACTGAAATTAAAGTACGCAGCTTTTATCCACTAACATTTCTAATGTCACCGTATTTAGGCTTCATGAACAAACGTATTCATGGTTATCTCAGTTAAAACTGGTTTCACTCTGCCAACAATCAATTTGATTGACATATTTACATATCAACTCATCTCATCTTACGAATTTTAAACTTTTTCATTTAAAATTGGATTCAAGTTGGCATCTTTCAAGAACTTTATGTATGTATATTTTAGGTTCAAACTGTGCATTAGAACATTTCTTTTTACTTTTGTAAGTAATAGATACACATATCCAAATGTATATTTATGACCTGTCAGATTGGAATTGTGTATGCCTGCTGTTGTATTCTCACCATTTCATGTGAAAGGTGATAATTTTAGGCAACTATAAAAGAAATTCTCCTAACAGTATAAACTGGATCATCCCATTAGTTAGAAACAATACAAATAAATAACTTAGGAATAAAACAACATCAACTTGAGAAAGAATGTTACTCATATCTATAATTGCTGCAATTATGCTGTGTCCTCTCTTACCTGATCTTTAATTTCAAGATCCCTGTTAGTTTTTGCTCTGAACTCTCTGTGCTCCTTTTCTGCCTCATCCTTCTCCATGTTGGCTTTATTCAGCTGATAGCGCATTTCTCCACACACCTGTTAGATTGTAAAAACTGGATGATTACCTGCTGGAATCTTCCAGGCAATGCCTGCAATTAGATCCTTTGGTGCCCCCTAGAGGTCATATGGATAAAATACAACAAAACTTTTCTAAGAATGCCATTTTCTACTAGAATACTCAACGTAGACTGTTAAGATTCAGAAGCAACATCAGGGATTATTAATTCTAACAACTTGAAATTATAGATAAATAAATGCATAACTAAGGAATTTAAGTAATGTGCCCAAGATTATTTTATATAACGGTTTCAATTGCATATTATCAACCAAAATGCACTATCATCTAACCCTTAAATAGGCAAAGTTAGCAGTTAAAATGTTAAGCTATGTTATTATTCATTCACATTGATACAGTTAAACATTCACTCTATCTGACAAAGTTTTCTTTTAAAGATTTAATCAGTTATGCTCTTTAAAAGGAAACGTATACAGGAATTTTTGTCTGCTGATAGACATACTATTGATATTTAGGTCTGTAGTATCCAGTATTGACTGCAAGGCTTGCAGATGTCATCTTATCATACACAATGCCAGGTATTCAAGTTAAGGAAGATTTTCTGGCAAAAACCATAGACTGGAACTAAGCAGACTATGCACTTACGGCTGTAACATTCAATATAAAAGGAAATAATTGTAATATAGCATCAATAATGAACATACATGGTATCTTAAAAGTGTTGCGTACCATCCTCTATACTTAACACTAAGAACTTTGTTTTATTTATTTTTTCCAATCTAGGGCTGCTACAGACACGGAAATATATTTGAAAGGTGTTATTAGCAGATAAATCTAAACAAGCAGATTATGGGCCTTTTGAGAGAACTGAGAACCTATGGAAAGTTCAGTGAATGTAGACGTCAGCTAAGCTGGCTTCTAATTTACAAATATATGGCTCTTAATATATTATCTCATGGTTATGCTTTCTTGAAACTTTTCAAGTATTTGGTATTTCTCCAAAAACAACAATTTTGGAAACTTTAGAAATCAGTTTCATCATTACTGAGGTATCAGAACAGACTAAGGCATAAAACCTGTATGCATTTAAGCTGGGCATAGTGGCGCATGCCTGTAGTCCCAGTTCCTCTGGAGGCTGAGGCGGAGGGATGGCTTGAGCCCAGGAGCTCAGGACTGCGATGCACTGTGCTACTGTCTGTGAATAGCTACTGCACTTCAGCCTGCGCAATACAACAAGATCCTGTCTCCAAATAAACAAAACAGAACTTAAAAAGTAACTTTAAAAATAATCTACGTTTAAAAGCTATGGTGACAAGACAGAAGAAAAAGTCAACAGGCTTCTCCCCAATGGCCCTCAGAAAGCTAGAACAATAACAAACTTATTAAAAATTCTGTTGACAGTTCAAATGCCTTCAGTGTGCGAGAGTTTATTCTTCCCATTTCAAAAATTATAAATTTATAAAAACTATTCATTTTAAGCCTAAATAAAAATTACAAATTCAGAGTGACAGGAAAAAAAATGAGAGGAGCCATATTTTATTTTCTTTCTCATTTGTTCACTATTACTATTTATTTCTATGAATAAAATGGAATAAAACCCTGAATTGATAATGTCAGAAGATAATGATTATACAACCATGATGTTTAAAACCCAACACCAATACAAACTTGTTAGGTAAAAACTGTTTAAGCATCAGGTTACATTTAAAATGATTTTATCCCTTCATTTTACTCCTACGGTTCCCTGCTTTACTACTTTCAGTTCAGCATTTGCTACGTTTATCCACAACACTGAAATTCTTTTTCAAATACATTAGCACATTAAATTGAACCAGAGCTACATTATCTCCACGTTGGAAGCAACTTCAAGGCGATTTAGTCTAATCACTCTTCTGATGCATACATATGTCCTTTCAGCTAGTTCTTGAGACAGAGAACTCTCTCTCTGCCGTACCGACTTCAACAGAAAGCTGCCTCTCTATTAACAGCTGAAAACTGTCTTATCATAGCTTTCACCTATAAATCTAGGTTAAGCATTCCCATCCTTCTAAACTAATTCCTTCACTTCCACCCTATCTCCACACAAAAATGTGAGCGTCTTACACTTTTACATTAGCTAATAGGAATTTTAAAAAGCAAATGGAGAATTATAGAAACTCAAGAAAAAGGAGAAAATGGCTCCCTTTCCTAATATATGTTAAAATTAATTTTAATTACTGAATTACACAGCAACAATGGCATTACAAATATGTCAAAATTTTGGAAAATACATGGAGGAATAAAAGGCAACATGGAAGGAGTATTTTAAGCAAATTATCTATATATTTAGTGGTAAAAAATAAATTGATTTTATCAGTTTCTTTGTTTTAAAGCAATTAACTATTGAAGTCTAGATGGACTACTAGTATTTCTTAGAATATGTATCTTAATCATTGCCAGTAAAGACTATTAAACATTTTAGTTCTTGATTCATGAACCAGCGACGCCCATAGCACAGACAATGTAGTATTTTCAAGTATAAATTTAAGCACCAATACAATAAGATCATGTAGTATTAGAATCTTTATTTTAATGACCAAGTCTGAAAAGGAGTAGGAAGTGGAAGATTTTTTTATGTCAAGTATACCTTTTAAGTTGTAAATATATGTCTTTGGCAATTATTGTAAACACCAACCCTATGCTATCTATGGTAAAAACAAGGTACTGCTAATTAATTTAGAAAAATGAGATTTATCAAATATTCAATAATTGAAGTAATATAACTCTTATTTATTTGTAAGTCTGTCTCCGCCACTCAACCCTTAAGCTCTTCAAGGCCGTGACTTGTGTCTAATTCATCCTTGTACATGTAATACCCATTAAGGGGCTGCACACAGTAACTGAATGTTTGCTGAGTAACTGTTAGGTGGCCTTTTATCATTCTTGAAATCACAAAACTTTTCTACTCCAAACTTCCTCCTGAGAACAGTAAGAGTTTTGTACATTAGGAAAACATTTTTCAAAGAAAATATTTCCTTAAGTAACGATTACACTAAAATCTCTTTCCGTACCTTTGTGACCTCCATTTCCCGAGAAGCAAGCTGGCTTTGAATTTCCTCTAGTTGATTCATAGCTGAAATCTTTTCCTTTGTAACCTTTTCCACCTGGGCCTCCAGTTGGGCAATATTCTGAGACAAGATCAACATCTGTAAGGGAAAATAAAAGTCCTAAACAATAATGTCATTTTACAAAACAAATACCAAAACTTTCTTGAATTAATAGCATCTCAGCATAGTCACTGGGCTCTGTGAGCCATTTTTCTGTGGATTGGGTATGTTCATTTTTCTCCTTCCTCTATTCACCTATGCCCAGTGAACTGAAATATGTACTTCTCTCCTATTCATCCCCCGATCTCTAACCTTACTTTGAAAAATGTATAACAAGGTGATAAAAACAAGGTGTTGGTTGAAACCCTAAGGTGACAGATATCAAACACCCAATTAAGTTATGAAACAGCATGCCACAGATACATTCAGAGGAGATACAGAAGCAGACAACTCTTAAACCCTTCTTCCACATGGAGGGTATAAAAGGACAGATGGGGAGAGTTAGGGAGGAAGTTCTTTACAGAGAGCAACTGGTCTGCTGTGGGTCCCACTACCCTTCCCCCAAAACCAACAAAGACGAGGCTCTGTGCAGTGCCCTTTGTTGGTAAAACCCCAACTGAGCCCCTATTATCTAGTTCTCCCTCATTTCTCCTATAGGTTTCAGCTCAGCCATTATCTCCAATCCTCTAGGAAGTCTTCCTTGACTCCAGTTCCCAGCACAAAATAGGTGACCCTTCCCATGTTCAGGGTTGATATTCAGCTAGTGTGCACCGGAACAGTCATGCCTGTTGTTTATAGCCTGTATCCACTCTCACTATTTCCCACACTGTAGAGATTAATATTTTGAATATCACTATGGCATGTGCTCCTACAATCTCAGTATATATACCTCCGTCACACCACGACCTCTGTGTACCTCGACCACAGTACTCATCCCACTGTTTTTAGTTGTCTGTTTCTTCATTAGAGTAGAAGTTCCTCAAGAGGTACCAAATATTTGATGAATGAATAAATAATTAGAATAAATGGCTTTCCAACGGACTCTAAGGATATTAGGTTCTCAGTTTTTCTTCTCAAGATTAGAAATGCTTTCTAGATCTTAGATTTATCTTTTATAGCTTTTGGTTTCCAATTACGTTTTGTTCTTTTCCAGGAAGTCGCTCTTCTAGGCTCTTAATTTCTTACTGTACTGGCAGTTTTTAAAATGTAGAAGCAGCAAAATATATAGGAATATCTATCAATTTTTATCTGTTAAAACAAGAACTGGTCCCACATTTTAAATAATGATGTTTGAAATTTACCATTGTATGCTGACATGGGTGTGAATTCAGTTTTATAACTTAAATCAATTACTAAAATTCTATGATAAAAATCAAAATCAACATTGAACCAAAGTTGTAGTAAATTAAGACCCTAGATCAATCAAACAAAGACAGGTGTCTGCCTTTGAACTACAGAACTAGCTAAAGTTTACCCTATGAAAATAATTTAGGCAGATATATTAATTAATTTTTCTGAAGGTAGTGGAGAATTGTATATTTGACTTATGGTTGTTTAGATGTCCCTATCATCAAAGGATTGTCTACAAATCTAATTTTCACATACAATTAGTTTTACTAATAACAAACTAAAAAAATATTCTTGAGCACATTACAATATAAACCTAAGGTTGAAAAGAAGTTAAATATAACAAATCAAAAATATCAATTTAATTTCTTAATTTAAAATTTTGAGTTCATGAGTACACATATCATGAATGTGTAATTATAGCTTTTCTGGAACCATATGACAGCAACAAACTTCAATTACCAGCTACTAAAAATCATATTTTACTTATTTATGTGGACATACATAACTGACGGTAAACATCGTAACATTGTATGGTTTTTGAAGTAAATATACTTTTATTTTGCTAATTATAAATTCTAGTCCATTTCTCTTCTAAGGCATGTCACAAATCTCTCCCGTTCCTTAGGATTCCTCCCTCTGCCACCCGTCATTTCCTTACTTTGCCCACTACCTGTCTGCTACCTCCTGTCGCGCACTTTCTGAGGTCTCCCCTCCTGTTGTCACACCTTCTTTTTCCCCACGCCCACCATCTGGAAGTCAACATTACACGGCAGGAGCTTCTCCATCCACATCTGTTGCAGAGCCAGAAGTAACACAGACACAGCTGCAACACTGCTGGATGTCCAGGACGTTGACATCAGGTAAGTCCTTTAAACTTTGACAGGGGCAAGGAAGAGACAAGGACACCCAGGTTGGGAGAGGTTGATAGAAATTTCTGCAGAGCAGTCCCTAGTGTATTGAACATGGTATGAAGTTGTACTCCCTATGCAAGAGATAAGAATTAAGGATTTTAACAATGGATACTGTCAAGGAAAGCAATTGAGAAAATGTGTGGACCTCAGGGGGTGCTCAATAAATAAATGATCAATGACTGAATGAACTAACAAAGCTGAGTGCTCAGTGCAACCAAGGACCATTAATGAAGATAACACACAAACTCACAGCAAGTACTGTTGATGGGGAATGATTCAAACCTGTCTAGGTAGAAGGCATCTGTTCTCCTACAGTTTCCCACACAAATGGAATTTTTTAAAAAAAGAAAAGTAAGGGAGGAATTAAAAAAAAAAAAAAAAACAGAAAGAAAATCTGTAAGTTTCACAAGTATTCCTACTGTTAGGAAAGCAGAGGTTCTTGTTCTAGCACTAACTTTAACTACCTAGCACTTACAATGTTATAATTAATTGGTTAGTCATTATGTTCTTGTGCCAGGCAGTGTGATATGCATTCTCTCTTTAAATCCCCTTAGAAAGGCCGGGCAGCGTGGCTCATGCTTGGAATCCTACAGCTTTTGGAGGTTGAGGCAGGAGGACGGCCAGGAATTCAAGATCAGCCTGGGCAACATAATGAGACCCCATTTCTACAATTTTTTTTTAACTAGCCGGGCACAGTGGCACATGCCTGTAGTCTTAGCTACTCAGGAAGCTGAGGCAGGGGGATTGCTTGAGCCAAGTAGTTGGAAGATATGATGAGCTATGATCACACCACTGCATTCCAGCCTATGTGACACAGTGAGACCCTGTCTCTAATAAATAAATAAAAAATAAATCCCCTAGAGAAGGAATTATATCGAATTAATTTTATTTGAAAAAATGAGATTCAGAAAACTAAGTAACTTGCTCAAGTTCATTCAAACTAATAAGTAAAAGGTAAAGCTGGGCTTTATATAGAAGTCTGTCTGCTTTTACTAACATGAAGGGCCAAGAATTCTATCCAATAAGGCTCCTTCTCTCTTTCTCTAAAACGGTAGCCACAAGCTAAAATTTATTAAATGGCCATGGTAAGTTAGACATTATATCAGATATTTTCTAAACATTATCTCACTTAATTCTATCAATTCTTGATGTATTAACTTCATTTACTCCTCTGAAACTTAGAGAGGTTAAGTGAATTGTTCAAGGTCACAGAAAGGTCAAGCTGGATTCAACTCTAAATCCTTTTACTTCAAAACCATTTTCTGCCATTTCCTGATGAGAGCTGGAACCTCAGTGCTAGGACCACTGTCAGCTCTTTATTCATACATCTTTATTTAGAGCAGGATCTTGAGACAAATGTCAGGGCTTCCTAGGGACAAAAGCATCTTCAATGACTCTAGTTGAGAAATGTGTGGTATTGAATACAGACCTAGAAATAAAGTCACACACATACAACCATCTGATCTTCGACAAACTTGACAAAAATGTGCAATGGGGAAAGGATTCCCTAGTCAATAAATGGTGCTGGGATAGCTGGCTAGCCATATGCAGAAGAATGAAACTGGGCTCTTACCCTTCACCATATTCTGGTGTTTGCTAGGTTTGCTGTTTGCTGTTTGGTGTTTGCTGTTTGCTATTGATACCATTCTCTCTTATACAACACTCAGTCCTACATGGGCCTTGGGAAAGAATTGATGACTAACTTCTCAAAAAAAATTGCAACAAAACCCACAAATTGACAAGTGGAACCTAATTACATTGAAGAGCTTCTGCACAGCAAAAGAAACTATCAATAGAGTAAACACACAACCTACAGAACGGGAGAAAATAGTCACAAATTATGTATCACAGGAAGGTCTAATATCCAGAATCCATAAAGAAAGTAAACAATTGGCCGGGCGTGGTGGCTCACGCCTGTCATCCCAGCACTTTGGGAGGCCGAGGCAGGTGGATCACGAGGTCAGGAGATCGAGACCATCCTGGCTAACACGGTGAAACCCTGTCTCTACCGAAAATACAAAAAATTAGCCGGGCGTGGTGGCGGGCGCCTGTAGTCCCAGCTACTCGGGAGGCTGAGGCAGGAGAATGGTGTGAACCCGGGAGGTGGAGTTTGCAGTGAGCCGAGATCGCGCCACTCACTCCAGCCTGGGCGACAGAGCGAGACTCCGCCTCAAAAAAAAAAAAAAAAAAAAAAGAAAGTAAACAATTGAACGAGCAGAAAACAACCCCATTAAAAAATGAACAAAAGACATGAACAGACACTTCTCAAAAGAAGATACACAAATGGCCAACAAACATATGAAAAAGTGCTCAAGATCACTCATGAATGATATGGTTTTGACTTCTGCCCCAGCCCAAATCTCATATCACACTGTAGTCCCCAATGTTGGAGGCGGGGCCTGGTGGGAGGTGATTGAATCGTAGGGGCGGGTTTCCCCCTTGCTGTTCTCATGATAGTGAGTTCTTACAAGATGTGGCTGTTTAAAAGTGTGTAGCACCTCCCCTTGCTCTCTCTTCCTCCTGCTCCAACCACAGAAGACATGCCTGCTTCCCTTCCACCATGACTGAAAGTTTCCTGAGGCCTCCCCGGCCATTCTTCCTGTTCAGCCTGCAGAACCATCAACCAATTAAACCTCTTTTCTTTATAAATCACCCAGTTTCAGGTATTTCTTTATAGCAGTGCAAGAACAGACTAATACACTAATCATCACAGAAATGCAAATCAAAACCACAATGAGATCCCATTTCACACCAGTCAGAATGGCTGTTATTCAAAAGTCAAAAAACAACAGACCGTGGAGAAGCCACAGAGAAAAGGACACTTCTGCTCTGTTGGTG